TCCTGTTAAATAAACTTGTATGACGGTGTCATCGTCGTCGAGTTGTCTTGTTAAGAAAGGAAGCTGAAGAGTACCTGCTAGACACTTGGTAGTGTGCTGACTCAATTTAGCACACAACAGTTCCTTTTTTGCGGCTACCTAAATGTTTACCCTCTTCTTCTTGTTCTTCATTTAGTCCTCTTTTACAGTTTCGGGTGTCGAGGGAAATAGAAGGTCCTGCTTCGTGTACTTCTGGTTGCTTTGACCGTAGACACATCGTAGTACTGTAGAGTTTCTCTAATGTTTTCTTCTAATCTTATGGAATAGCAGCAGAAAGCATTCTCTCCAAGCGGGAATACCATTTGGTTTGCTGTTTTTGTGTTTACGTGTATCACGTATGACCTCATTCCTGATTTTATCTGTTCTGGTCACTCCTACAATCTTAGACACCTGTTTCCATGGTTACTAATTTTCTTTTATGTTTTATTGTGAGTGACCATGTCTGGCACTGACAGCATAGGGTGGGAATGAATATGCTTTGTATGAGATACTTCTTTTTGCCTATTAGGATTGCCTCATGCTGTTAGAGGGCACCTAGCCGTCCAAATACATGGCTTGCTTTACTGTATGGGATGTTCATCATCAGTTCTCGTTATGCCTAGTGGCACATGAGGCTTCAGAGAGGACTTTCCATGCTTTCCTGTCCTATGCAATCTTTAATGCAGTTTTCCATGTCAAAGATGCCACACTCAGGTCACTTTCCATCGTTCGTCTTCATGTTGTTTTTGGGCGCCCCTTTTTTCTCTTTCTCTCTGGTATCCATGTGAGAGCTGTTTTGGCAGGTATATCAGAAGTCATTCTCATAACGTGGCCAAGCCATTTCCATCTTCTCTTGGTTATCATACTGTCTAGAGTTTTTTTTTTTTTTTTTTTTTTTGGTTTGTGACTTGAAGTAGTTTAGTGTTTGAGATTGTATCTGGCCAGAAAATTTTGATAACTGTATGGGATGTTAACTTCTTTATCCAATTACCATCTTCAGTGAATGTTGTTCCAAGATATTTCAGTGTTTACCATACAATCCTGAAATGTAGAAATCTTAATCTGGACGGCAGACCAAAAGGACAGATCACAGATACCCCGTTCATTCTCCAAGGAAATTATAATTTGGGCACACGTAACTCCGGGTGAAGTCTTCAGGGATATGGGGGGTGAGGAGAACCTTATTTCATGCCCCAACCTGGCTTTTGCGTGACACCTAAATATAGCTAAGCCTTAAATATGGTCTAACGGCTGAACGGGGTTTCCGGGATCTCTCCACGGGTGATTCTGATCCGCATGGTAGCACTTTGTGCCACCGAGTGTTTATCGCTTGTGTGATGTCTAGATGGGGTACAACTGACCTATCTCTACCTTATGGCATTTTAAAGGGTGTTCTTGTAGCGTGTTTTATTACCGGCACGGGATCTTTTCAGGACTAACTGTAAGTAATTTGGGTACTCACTCATGCCTCATAATCTTATAAATAGCTTTTCAAAGCGCTGCACTCTAATGCAAATAGTCAGGCGGGCAATAGGTGAACTAATGCCGTGCTAATGTCTCATTTGCAAAAAAACTATTGGTAATTATCACATGCTTTTCAGTCCAATGACTTCTAGCACGACGATGGAGACAACAGCTGACACAGGAGCACTTAATGGCTGGGCGAACAGAGAGCAACTCTCGCATTGGTAGTGGCAGATTCAATGAGCACGCTTAACAAGATCCAAACTGGCAAACTTCTACTACAATGAGTTTACAGTATTCAGAAGTACCGCCTCAAGGAATGTTCTCGGCTGTACACACCTGGACATGTCAGGGGGAATGGAAATTAAAGAGCCGACAGACTGGCCATGTCTGCAGTGGCCGGTGGAGGGAAAAGTAAGGTCGGGGCAGACATACTGAATGCGCTGCGGTCCAGAGTTGGAGACAAAACAGTCAGAGGCTACCAATCGACTGCTTAAAATAGAAATTAAACAAGGACAGTGCGACGTTGTACTTTCAGTGTGCTCTTGCTGTTTCCTAGGGGAATGTACTATGGCTGAAATATGTGACGAATTGACGCACACAGATGATTTTGAGGAGACCCAATCGCAGTTTATATTTTTATTACTCACAGAAGACAATCCGGTCCAGTCACCGTCAGCTACTCTCTAGCATGTCTAAATATTCAACAGGTAACAATGACAAAGTTCATCACCGCTGTTCACAATCATTCACGTTCGCTACCTTTGTAATCTTTCCGTCTGAATCGCGCCACAAGTACAGGCATCAAACAAGCATCTCTGGCCGCTGGCTGTTCATCTTCACCATCAGGCTAGTCATCAACTTGACTGGATTCTGGCTAGGCGGTCATCTTGTTGAATTGAAACTCCTCCACGTTGTTCAGTTATACAATGTCGTCTTCGTGCTCTCACAAAACACAACCCCTCACTCTGGCTGCGAATCACACGCTGCCTTGGAACATTGTCCAATCTTTCAATCTCGTTCTCATTCCCTCGTGCAGTCATTTGAGCACTCTTTCTACAATTCGTGCTTCTGCGGGTAATCGTGCTCTCACGCATTTCTTTCTCAACCTATATGTAACCTTCCTGTCACTAGAAGAAGCTCCACGTGGAGATTCCCCTCATTGCAGACATCCATACAGAAGCCCGTGGCTGGATACAGAAAGAAGCTATGCCAGTCAACTGCTACTGGTGTACGGTGAGCAGGGACACACTGAGATGGCTGCTGCATTGTAGGACGGTGCCAGAATGGATCGGACCGTCAAACAAGCAACGTGAGTATAACACTAGTATTTACCTTGTACGCCGGGGTGTTCACATTAAAATTATTAGTAACTTTCGCAGACGTAAGGCATAAAAGTATCTGCTGCCTGTGATTGTGGAGCAGAAAGACAGACCCCTGGGCACATACTGCAGTACTGCCCTTACTTCTCCCAGCAAAGTCTGTGGATCTGGCCCAAGGGAGCAACATTGCAAGAGAAGCTATGGAGGACCGGTGGCGACCTTAAACGCACAATCCTATTTGTGACCCAGACGGGACTCAATGTTTAGCATGACTGATTTCGAACGCTAAAGAAGAAGTAGCAGCAGACGTCAGACTCTCGCACATCTAGACAACCAGTAAGTGTAACTGTTAACAAACTTCTAACAAAATAGTTATTTTTAATGCACAAACACACAACAAGAAAACAGACTTACAGACAGGCACTTAGTTGCCAAAGTAACGTATTGTGTAGGTGATAATCATCAACAAATGTGAAATATATTAGGCAATATCTCCAGTGCAAATGGACATGTTTATACAATGAGTCATCACCATCATCATCATCGTTGTTGTCATCGTCGTCATTATAATCATCATCATTAAAGACAATCTAAAAAGCGGTAACTTATATATTTATGATTATCGTTGTAAAGTAGCAAGACAAAGAAAGACACAACAGTTTCATTTGGAGCCGGCAGATCGAATCCCCGAGTGGTCACTTTCATTTATTTTTGGATTCATTTGTTGTTTAGTGTGCAGACTTGTTAAAACTGCCTTTGAAAACTGGCAATTGCTGCCTTTATTTTACCACTTTTGCGGTTTGAAATCCTGGTTCTAGTTCAGAGCTTCCAAAACTGTTCCTGTTGTGTTCAGAGCTTCCAAAACTGTTCCTGTTGTGTTCAGAGCTTCCCAAACTGTTCCTGTTGTGTTCAGAGCTTTCCAAACTGTTCCTGTTGTGTTCAGAGCTTCCCAAACTGTTCCTGTTGTGTTCAGAGCTTCCCAAACTGTTCCTGTTGTGTTCAGAGCTTCCCAAACTCTTCCTGTTGTGTTCAGAGCTTCCCAAACTGTTTCTGTTGTGTTCAGAGCTTCCCAAACTGTTCCTGTTGTGTTCAGAGCTTCCTAGACTGTTCCTGTTGATAGCACACATTTTCGTCATCAGTAGTTAGCATGACCCTTACAGAAGAAAGTCGCCATCATCACGGCGCGGTCAAAAGTCTCTATTTCTCTAGCCAGTTTTCCAACCCTATGTGCTTGTGTAGCCAATGTATCTTCAGTGTCCTTTATCCACTATTGCGGAGGTCGGCCTCTGCCTCCTTTCCCGGAAACTGTATCCTCCACCACTGTTCTCTCCAGACTATGATAATGTTGATGAAATGTGAGGATTGTTCCTTGACAATATATCTTACATATTTTTAAGTGGCTAGGTCAAAGTTCACTTAACAGTTATAATGTAACATTTACATATATATTATTGTACAAACGGAATCAGTCAGAAAGGAGAGACTCACCTCACGAAGACCATCACAGGTTAAAACTTCGGAGGGAAATGAGAATGCAGTCGGTACAACTCATGACAACTTAATTTTTTTTTACGGGAGGTGGAAAAGGATGGGGGTGGGGGTGGGGGGGGGAGGGGTTGTTGTTAAAACCAACCCCAGCATGTTCTGGTTGTTGTGGTTTTGCTAGGCACATTTTACGTTCAGTAGTTTGCCAGTTCTCCTGAACGGCCAGCTCTGGGTCCACAGTCAAAACCAACCCAAGACAAATTGTCAGCAGCTGGGATGGAACCCGGCACCCCGGCATTACGAAGCATGTTCGCTGACAAATTACATACAACGCTGTTAATTAGCGATGACATTTGTCCTGGTAATTTGTTTTCCCCTCATTCACTTATTTTGATATTGTAACTAAATTTACGGACAGGACACACAGTCAGTTGTGTTTACTGTCTTTCATCATGAGAGAAGAGGCACTGTAATTGCCAGATTGTATATTCAGATGGTATTGTACAGCTGCAGATTTATACATCTTGGCAGACGTGTATACTGAATCTATTTTATGAGTAGTAATCGTGGCAACCAACTACATTTCCTAGTGAATTAATTAGAGTCTGCACCTCCATTGGTTTGTCTAAGTAGTTTATACCCATAGCTGGGAGAGCGCAGTCGTCGAGTGTGTCCGTCGTACCGTAGATCCTCCTTCCTGACCGAGACTAGTCACCAATGTGATTTGGCAAGTTCTTCTTTGTCTGGAGCTTCACTGTTGGGGAACAGATGGACACAAAAACTGTTAAGATCGTTGGTATGTATTAGGTGAATGTTTGTTTCATTACAGCTAGACACAAGGAGGTAGTGTTGTAACTTTTGATATATATTTTCTTCTTCTTCTTCTTCTTCTTCTTCTTCTTCTTCTTCTTCTTCTTCTTCTTCTTCTTCTTCTTCTTCTTCTTCTTCTTCTTCTTCTTCTGCTTCTTCCTCTTCTTCTTTTTCTTCTTCTTCTTCTTCTTCTTCTTCTTCTTCTTCTTCTTCTTCTTCTTCTTCTTCTTCTTCTTCTTCTTCTTCTTCTTCTTCTTCTTCTTCTTCTTCTTCTTCTTCTTCTTCTTTTATTCTTGTTCTTGTTCTAGTTGTTGTTGTTGTTGTTGTTGTTGTTGTTGTTCTTCTTCTTCTTTTTCTTCTTCTTCTTCTTCTTCTTCTTCTTCTTCTTCTTCTTCTTCTTCTTCTTCTTCTTCTTCTTCTTCTTCTTCTTCTTCTTCTTCTTCTTCTTCTTCTTCTTCTTCTTCTTCTTCTTCTTCTTCTTCTTCTTCTTCTTCTTCTTCTTCTTCTTCTTCTTCTTCTTCTTCTTCTTCTTCTTCTTCTTCTTCTTCTTCTTCTTCATCTTCTTCTTCTTCTTTCTCTTTTTCTTCCTTCTTCTTCTTCTTCTTCTTCTTCTTCTTCTTCTTCTTCTTCTTCTTCTTCTTCTTCTTCTTCTTCTTCTTCTTCTTTTTCTTCTTCTTCTTCTTCTTCCTCCTCCTCCTCCTCCTCCTCCTTATCATCAACATCATTATCTTATTATTATTATGTGTATGCAAACCATTGGTTCCATGCCTCTCAGGGAGATGCACTTCTACTTAAAAAAAAACACCATCGTTTAGTAGACTTTTACGGCATGCTTGTTGGTGGAGAAAGGGGCGGGGGATTTGTCCATTCTTTACCCCTCCCCCCGACATGGAGCAAATGGACCCACCCGTGGATAATGTATTCTAACATGCACAGTATATACACATCATATACACAGTATATACACATCATATACACAGTTTATACACATCATATACACAGTATATACACATCATATACACAGTTTATACACATCATATACACAGTTTATACACATCATATACACAGTTTATACACATCATATACACAGTTTATACACATCATATACACAGTTTATACACATCATATACACAGTTTATACACATCATATACACAGTTTATACACATCATATACACAGTTTTTATACACATCATATACACAGTTTATACACATCATATACACAGTTTATACACATCATATACACAGTTTATACACATCATATACACAGTTTATACACATCATATACACAGTTTATACACATCATATACACAGTTTATACACATCATATACACAGTATATACACATCATATACACAGTTTATACGCATCATATACACAGTATATACACATCATATACACAGTATATACACATCATATACACAGTATATACACATCATATAAACAGTATATACACATCATATACACAGTATATACACATCATATACACAGTATATACACATCATATGCACAGTATATACACATCATATACACAGTATATACACATCATATAAACAGTATATACACATCATATACACAGTATATACACATCATAAAAACAGTATATACACATCATATACACAGTATATACACATCATATACACAGTATATACACATCATATGCACAGTATATACACATCATATACACAGTATATACACATCATATACACAGTATATACACATCATATAAACAGTATATACACATCATATACACAGTATATACACATCATATACACAGTATATACACATCATATACACAGTATATACACATTATATACACAGTATATACACATCATATACACAGTATATACACATCATGTACACAGTATATACACATCATATACACAGTATATACACATCATATGCACAGTATATACACATCATATACACAGTATATACACATCATATACACATCATATACACATCATATACACAGTATATACACATCATATACACAGTATTTACACATCATATGCACAGTATATGCACAGCATATGTACACTATATGCACAGTATATGCACATCATATGCACAGCATGTGCATAGTATATGCACAGTATATGCACATCATATGCGCATTATATGCAAAGTATATGCACACTATATGCGCACTGTATGCACAGCACATGTACAAAATATGCACAGTATATGTGTAGTATGTGCATTGTATATACACAGTATATGCACAGTATATGCGCAGTATATGCACAGTATATGCACAGTATATGCACATCATGTGTACAAAATATGCACAGTATATGTGCAGTATATGCATTGTATATGCACAGTATATGCACAGTATATACACAGGAGACGGGAAACCTAGTAAAGCAATAAGATGTAAAATGGCTCAAGCAAAAGCAGTATTTCACAGAAGTAGAAATATTCTATGCAATCCTTCTTTGTCGGTTGGGGAGGGAAAAAGAATTCTCAAGAGCTCTGTAAAATTGTATTCGGATATATCCACTAAAGTACCACTTGACAGAAGGTTCCAGATGGACATGATAACCAACACGCACAAATTAACGAAGTAACATTTTCCGGCCCAGACACACCGTGATTGGCCATTCATTCATGCTTGCTGACCTTTTACACGTGCAACTCTCTGTTACATGAGTGTCACGTTGTATTGTCTTCGATACTCTCATCGGCGATGACGCCTGCTCTTTATTACTGACTGACTGACTTTCTACCCCACTAGGACATCACACAAGCGATAAACACCCGATGACACAAAGTGCCACCATGCGGATGAGGATCACCGTGGAGAGGTCCCAGAAACCGCGTTCAGACCATTGGCCATATTGATGGCCTGCCTATATTGCGGCCCCTGGCAAAAGCCAGAGTGGGGCTTCAAATAAGAAAAAATTACGTCCTTGAAAGGGTGCAATTGAAAATAGCTCTTTATTACAGGATGTGGCTGCTTTTAACGACCCCAGAAGTTTTAGAACTGGTCCTAACCTCCCTCTTTTCTTTCACACCCCACAGCCTCAGCCTACGTCCCAAGAGAGACTGCATCCTACGTACCGTGGTTTCAAAACTGTTAACATTTTGCTGTCGGTCCTCCTTGTCAGTCGTCAACGCTGACAACTGAAGTAAATTCACGTGGTACTTGAAGTCCGAGAAGGCTATAATATATGCAATGTCGCCGGCTGCTCAGAACAACGAGTACAACACAACGTGTATCTGGCTGCTCACGCGACGTGCAGTAAATACATAACAGAACACAGCGTGACTCCCCTGTAACTCAGACTAGTGCCTGAGAAAGATTAGCCAGCATGAATGAGCGGCCACTCACGGTGTGTATAGGCCGGAAAATGTACTTGAACCGTGCTGGAAAAAAAGGAAATTCCACTTACAACCAGTTAGCAGAACTACTCAGAGAATCATAAAGTGCCGGAACATGATTATTATGCCCCTCTCCACCCCACCCGGTTTGGGGGAAAAGGGGGGGGGGGGGTTGTTTTTCTTTCACACACAGCCACATAAAACAGTAATATCATAAATGTACATTTATTAATTACATTTAAACGTATCTAGCAAATATTTAAAAGAGGACATGTACCATTGTAAAAGATAATAAAACAATAACACTCATTATTAAACAAACAATAATGAAGCAGTATACATAGACTGTGCATTTAATGTTATTTAATACTGGACGGATTACAAGCTCGTAACAATTGTTAAAGCTGCAATATAATCAATTTATTATTCTGCTAAACAAAGGTGCTTTCCTGAAATTATGTCAAACAAGACCGAATGGCGGTTTTGCTATACACACAAAGTACAGAGTTTGACATATACATACATATATATATATATATATATATATATATCGGATGTTTCGCTCGTTGCGGAACTCAGTATATTGTTCATAGCTAGGACACTAACAAAGATATGGCAACGAAAAGTGAAGAGGACTTGAGGTCTTTCATGCGAAGTCTTCTACTTCTTCTTCTCTTCCACCTTGTATCTCATCGAAGTGTCGGGGGGAGATGTCATGTTCGCTGATGAGCTCTGTCAAGAGCACTATTAAGACTGATGTTCATTTCTGTAAGGCTCTTAATGCCATCACTCCATATTTTCCGAGATCTTCCACTGGTTCTATACCTGTTGTAGCGTTTTAGTGTGGATCGCTGTGGCATGCGAAGTCGGCTGACAGTATAACAGGTGCGGGAGTTGCAGTACTGGACACAGCGATCCATGTTGTGGAAAGTCCGTCTTAGAAGGTCAAGTGTCACTGCTTGGATGGCTGCACTGATCTTTGCTTTCAAGACCTGGACGCCAATGTTGGCAATTTCCATCACCAGTAGTGATGTCACCTAGCTTCGCATTTAATGCTGCATGATGAATTAGGAATTGACATCATAGCACTCGGGGCACTCCCATAAGCACTTCGTCCGCATCTTCAGCAGCAAGCGAAGAGTTTCAGTTCCTATGGCAGCAGTAACTGTCTGATTGTATATCCGTCTCGTTTTTCCTTCGAGTGTTGAGCGTCTGCCTGATCCCCTGGTAGCTCCTTGTAGCGCCAATTCCCTCAGCACATAACGAACGAACAAACTTTATTTTCAAAGGGTTACAAATTGGGCACGCAGGCCCGTCTGACATCCTGCCCTTCCAAGTACTCATTTTTCAGAGTACCAATACCTGTTATCAATAATGCATGTTATGGATTTAATAAAGAAATATAAATTATAGTATAATGCATACACACATCATGTGTACACAATCATACACACTCACACACACACGTATAAATACTCCAATGTTCTCATACATGCGAACTCATATACAGACATACATGATACATACACACATGCATCTACATACATATACAAGCATACACATACATAGACGTTCTCATACATACATAATACATACATGCACCTATATACATATACGCACACATACACACATCCACATGTATACATACATGCATAGGCTAAATCTGCATGCATAATAATACAAACATACATCAACATACATATACAAACATAAAACACACACATCTGAACACACACAGAACGATGTACCTGTGGTCGGCATGAACGGAGGTAAGTCCACTCCGAGTTTCCTTGTCATATCTTTATTATTGTCCCAGTTATAAACGAAATACTGGGTTACACGACAAGTAAAACATCGGATATATCCATGTCGTTTTTCTTTTCTATAGTCAGCTTTGTGGCTCAGTCGATGCGAACCCTTCGTAATGCCGGGTTCGATCCCAGCTACGGGCCATGTGCCTTGCGTTGGTTTCGACAGTGGTATCAAGAAAGCTGACCGTCCAGAAAGCAATGGCAAACTACTGGACGTAAATTTGCCTAGAAAAACCAAACAACAGCCAGGGGCTGTTGGGGTTGATTCTGCAACGTCCTGTAAAGGATACGCAACTGACCTTTATTTTTATTTTTTTTAAATAGGCCCCCTTTGAGCTTCAGTGGCCCTGGAACAATGTACCCTTAGGCCTGCCTGTTAAAACTGTTAGTTGGATCGGGTATTTTTGTTTTTTCTTACTTACCTCTCCCATAGTGAACTCCAGTTAAAGACCAGATAGCCCAGTGCCGAGCCGAGTATGGCGGCCAGACACAACCAGACGTTTAACGCCATAAAGATGACCATCAGGAGAAACATCAGTGTGACCTTGCTAGCGTGTACCAGCGTAGACAGGACGTTGTGTAGGATCACAGTCGGTGTTCTAGACCTGTAAATAAACAGAGGGAGAACCTTTGAGGCCGTTAAATATTATGAATCAAGTAACAGAAAGTGTATTGATCGGCACTCATAGAAAGAAGTGGATAGATAAAATAACACACTAGACAACATAAAAATCAAAAGCTATAGTTACCGTGCCGGGAATTGAACATGTCACCATGGCGCGGCGTCTGCGCCTCGCCATGGATACAAGTGCACTAAGAACATTGTCAACTAGGCACACCCAAAAAAAGGTGTCTTATTGGCCATGTCTATCCTACAGCTTGAAATCCTCAACTATGGAATACGGACAGAATTAATTTCAAACCATTTAAATGGCCCCATAGGTTACAGAAATTTATATTAACGAAGCATGTGTCGAATAACAATCACAGTAACAATTTACGAACACAGTAGACCTTAATGCTTTGTCTAGAATACACAAACATTTAAGAAAGGTATTTGATTGGTAGGTTCCGGCGGTGTGCATACGTCATTCTTATAAATATACAGAGGTGGGACCTTTGAGGCCGTTAAATATTATGAATCGTGTTCTAGACCTGTAGAGTAGAGGCGGTTTACACACTGCACTGTTATCTCTAGCATAGTTGTTTGTTGGCACCTTTCCGTCTTTCCAGACGACGGTGTGTTATATGTTAACAGTAAAAAAAAATTGGCCATCGATAATCCGGCCTTTTAATATTTCAGTTAGAGAACTGTTTTATTAAGTTAATGAACATCAAAATTTCATTTGCTTTTCATTTCGTGTTTCATTTTATGTCTTTACAGAACTGTAGAAGGTAGTTATTTCACATTAAATACTTGTAAATTGGGCATAAATAACCGTTAAAAAATCCGGTATTTTCGCAAATCCAGTGCTCTGCAGGTCCGGAATTTGGCTGATTTTGTAATGCCAACCTGTATAACAGGGCCATTCAAATAAGTTTACTCAAGGGCCAAAGTTTTGAAAAACATTGATCGTCCCGAGCTAGAGGTCTGAGGTCCAGCATAGAAAGATCATTAACTCAGTAGAAACAACTCAGTAGAAACAACTCTGTAGAAACAACTCTGTAGAAACAACTCTGTAGAAACAACTCTGTAGAAACAATGTTAAAAGAACACACACATATTCACACGCGCGCGCACTCTCTCTCTCTCTCTCTCTCTCTCTATATATATATATATATATATATATATATATATATATATATATATATATATATATATATATATCTCACACACACACACACACACACACAGATACACATAAACTATGTATGTAAATATATATCTATAATGATATATATCAAAGATAAATAAAAGACCTGTTAAGCCTCTCCATTAGACATCGAATATAAGAATAATAACAGGTTTGTTTCTGTTGCTTCTGTTTTAGTCTGTCCAAATACCATTATTATCTGCAGGCTCCTACCTGATCCAGAAGACAGGTCGTGCCCGAAGACGCCTGATGGCCGAACCCAGACCTTCTGAGAAGATGGCCAACACGAACACCACCAGGGTCATGACTGGCAAACCTGGGAAATGTTAACAGAAGTTTCAGTTTATGCCCACCTACACTGGACTACACATTTCTAGGTTTAGGGGTTTAGTCGACGGATCAACATCATGGCAACGGGTGTAACCCATAAGTGCTCCGTTCTACTTCTAACTCAAGCCCGAGTGCCGAAATTCTCAATGCAGTGCACGAAATCCTTGCAACGGCGAGGCTCCTGCAAAATACTTTGGCTAGAGTTTTAACTCCAAATTTTGTCCGGGCAGGGCCGTTAGGCTATTCTTTTCAATTTCCAGCTGCCAAGGTTTTTTTTTTTTAAACGTGCGCAACAATACACACAGGCGTCCGATCCTACTACCCAGAGACTAGGGGAAATTGCTAGAAGTCTAAGTGAAAAAATCCAAGCCTTCACCCGGTACCTCCAGCACTCCAGACGGATGCAATACCTAAAAATGTGCAAGTGTTAGTGTGTTAAACCATGTGTTCACCTACAGCCATGTATATATGTTTTCTTTGTAAGTTATGTTTCTTATTCATGTTATTTTAATTATTTTATCATAATTTTTACTGTTTAGCACATAGTTATTATTATTATTATTAGTTATATTATTAATATTATCCATAAGCACTCAAACAAGGCTTGAGCCCTCTTGAAACCCACTCTGCCACGATAACTTGTGACGTGGCTGAACACACACCCGTCCCCTGCTTTAAATGGGTAGGGCATATGATTTAGCCACATTATGTGTATAAATAGGTAAGTGCTTTTGCTGAAACAAAAATCGTCCCTTTCAACCAGCTTCCCCGAAGGGAGAGCTTTAGGTTATAATTGTGACCAGGTTATGTGCGCCATATAGAATGGCCTGGCATTGTACGCCACTAAGAGCCCAGAAAAGGTTTCCTGCAATGTTGATGCGATCAAAGGAGACAGACCTAAATACTGTCGTCTACCGGCGAGCCAATTGGCGACTTGGATGCCAGTTTGGTGTATGTTATGAATCAATGTCAGCTCTGTGGCTAAATCGATGCGAACGCTCCGTAATGCCGGGATGCCGGGTTCGATGCCAGCTGCGGGCCATGCGCCTTGCGTTAGTTTCGACAGTGGTATCAGGGGGCCGACCGTCCAAAAAGTAATGGCAAACTACTGGACTTAAATTTGCCTAGAGAAACCACACAACAGCCAGGGGCTGCTGGGGTTGGTTCTGCAACGTCCTGTAAAGGACACGCAACTAAACTATGTATTAATACAGGTCTAATGTTTGTATAGAATAATAGGAACTCAATGGGGAAGAAATGTGGTCGATCAAAATCAAATCGGTTGCAGTTACGTCCAGCACATTTCCTTGCGCCTGTTTCAGGTCGAGTTGACATTAGAGCCTGTTTTATGTAAACAGTTCACCTGGAGGGAAATTTTAACCTTTGACACAGAAATCAAACAGGAAGAAGTAGAAGAAGAAGAAGAAGAAGAAGAAGAAGAAGAAGATGATGGTTATGATGATGAAGCAGCAGCAGAAGAGGAAGAAGACAAACTACAACAACAAGCAACAGATAGCTGGGGAAAAAAGACGAAAACTATTTTTTTTTTAAATCAGAGAAAGATCAATAACAGTAATGTTTGACCATAGATCTGAATGTCTACTCTCTGAAAGTCTGATGGTTTATTAAAACAAACAATAAACGTTTTCGACATGCAATAATAACTTGAAGCCAGACTTTGAACAAATACCCCCCCCCCCCTTGCCCTGCCCTGCCCTCCCCCCTGCCCTGCCCTGCCTCAGACCTGTTGTGGAGTGGATGATGTTGTTGAGCCAGTCGTAGAAGCCGACATCGGGGACAGCACTGTGATTGTGTGCAGTGGTCATCTGAGGAGAGACAAGCAAACCACTCTTAGTGAGTTATTCATTGATAGAAATGTTGTTCGTCCATCACGAGAGATGAAGACCACCTTTCATACAAAGTAGTAATGATCGAAGATTATAAGTACGAAGGTGGCTGATAGTCCAATATGAGCACGGACAGTTTTTGAGCAGTGCGGACAACAGATGGGAGCCGCAGTAAATGTTGGATTAGCCATATGATTCTTTGTAGTCTGCCTCCGTTTATCTGCCGGTGCAACCTCCGCTACCTGGTCGGCTGATTCCCTATGCCATCCAGAACGGTCCTTTGCAGCAGCCTCCTACGTCTTCGTAAAGATGCCAAAAGAATTGCGCTTTTTATAAATAATAATTATTGTATAGCCCTTGAGGTCATTGAAACACTCGTGCTCGAGAAACACGTTTGCAGCAGGGGCACTGCCGCACATAACCCTAATGAGAACAGATCAGCTCCCTCCAAAAAAAAGGGCTGAAGTATAGTTTAGGTGCCTAGTAATAATAACCCTCTAAAATTATTGATGGTTGGAGTGCTCCCCCCCCCTCCCTCAGTGTACCTAGGGATCTTACAGCGGTTGAGCGCATAGGTTTTGGGTCTCTGGTTTACATATCTTTCACTCATAGAAGTGTGGCTCCCGGAGCCTCATTGGGGAGGGGGAGGAGGGATCAACTGTTTCCCTAACAAGCATGTCGTACAGGGCAAATAAAAAGGATTTTTTTGCTTCGAAGTCCGAATGCACCTGCCTGAGATACGAGGAACGGAATCAACAGTCTGCATACAAATAAGTCAGATGTGTAAAACGGATGTTCATGCAAAACTCAAGCTCTGGGACAGAAGTAAAGAAATGGAGGAACAAACAAAACTTGTCGCCGGTGAGCGCAAAGATGGGAAGGATAAGTCTCTCACAAGCTGAAGGACAGTATAGAGCAGGGGTTCTCAACCTTTCTAATGCCGCGACCCTTTAATACAGTTCCCTCATGTTGTGACGACCCTTTAATACAGTTCCCTCATGTTGTGACGACCCTTTAATACAGTTCCCTCATGTTGTGACGACCCTTTAATACAGTTCCCTCATGTTGTGACGACCTTTAATACAGTTCCCTCATGTTGTGACGACCCTTTAATACAGTTCCCTCATGTTGTGACGACCCTTTAATACAGTCCCCTCATGTTGTGACGACCTTTTAATACAGTTCCCTCATGTTGTGACGACCCTTTAATACAGTCCCCTCATGTTGCAGTGACCCTTTAATACAGTTCCCTCATGTTATGGCGACCCCCAAATAATTATTTTCCTTTATAACTTCAATGGGGAGACGCCGTGGTGTTGGCATTTGACGGAGCCGGATTTTTTTTTCTTCAAAAATGATCTTGACTCCCAGGTCGACCCAGTCTGAACGAGGTACAGTCCTAGGAGGTAAAGGCGGCTGGCGTGATGCTAACAACATCAGCCACCAAGTACCGATTGGTCTATAAACATATAGGTCTATCCCTGTATTCCAAATACGCCTAAAGGCGTGGAAAAGGGGACCTTTACTTTTTATAACTTCAATGAATATGTGTTTTCCGATGGTCTTAGGCGACCCATGCGAAAGGGTCGTTCGACCCCAAAAAAGGGTCGCGACCGGCAGGTTCAGAAAAGTTGGTATTGAGATTAGTTCAACTCGGGTATTTGTTGCCTGTTTATGGTTTTAAAGGCAATTTTACATTCTGCAAGAGGTTCGCAGCTGTCTTTAAACTTTCGTTTATCGGGATTGTGAGACTGCATTCACAACCTCTGAAGGATACATACAACAACATAATGATGTAGTCCTGTAGGAGGCTGCCTGTGGATCGGAAGGTCTTGGGTTCGGATCCAGACAGAGCCGAACTTTTTTTTTTAATGACCTTGGCTCCCAGATCGACCCACATTTAAGTGGGTAACAGGTGCAGTCGTGGCAAGTAAAGGCGGTTGGTGTGAAGCTGATCATTTCAACCACTGAGTGTCGACTAGTCTATAAAATAGGGAGTGTGTGTATAAGTGAGTGTGTGAGTCTGGGTATGTGCGTCTGTGTGAGCAGCGACAATGAGTGTGTGAAAGTGAGTGTGTGTATAAGTGAGTGTGTGAGTCTTTGCGCCTGTGTTAGAAAAGGACAATGAGTGTGTGAAAGTGAGTGTGTATAAGTGAGTGTGTGAGTATGTGTTTGTGCGCCTGTGTGAGAAAGAGACTATGAGTGCGTGAAAGTGAGTGTGTGTATAAGTGAGTCTGTTAGTCTGGGTATGTGTGTCTGTGTGAGCAAGCGACAATGCGTGTGTAAAAGTGAGTGTGTGTATAAGTGAGTGTGTGAGTCTGTGTTTGTGCGCCTGTGTGAGAAAGAGACAATGAGTGTGTGAAAGTGAGTGTGTGTAAAAGTGACTGTGTGAGTCCTGTGTATGTGCGTCTGTGTGAGAAAGAGACAATTCTTTACAGGACGTTGCAGAACCAACCCTAACAGCCTCTGACTGTTGTGTGGTTTCTCTAGGCAATTTACATCCAGTAGTTTGCCATTGCTACTGGACGGTCGGCTTTCTTGATACCACTGTCGAAACCAACGCAAGGCGCATTGCCCGCAGCTGGGATCGAACCTGGCATCCCGGCATTACGAAGCGAAGCGTTCGCATCGACTTAGCCACAGAGCCGACAAAGAGACAATAAGTGTGTGAAAGTTTGTGTGTGTATAAGTAAGTGTGTGAGTCTGTGTTTGTGCGCCTGTGTGAGAAAGAGACAATGAGTGTGTGAAAGTGAGTGTGTGTAAAAGTGACTGTGTGAGTCCTGTGTATGTGCGTCTGTGTGAGAAAGAGACAATAAGTGTGTGAAAGTTTGTGTGTGTATAAGTGAGTGTGTGAGTCTGTGTTTGTGCGCCTGTGTGAGAAAGAGACAATGAGTGTGTGAAAGTGAGTGTGTGTAAAAGTGACTGTGTGAGTCCTGTGTATGTGCGTCTGTGTGAGAAAGAGACAATAAGTGTGTGAAAGTGTGTGTGTGTATAAGTGAGTGTGTGAGTCTGGGTGTGTGCGCCTGTGTGAGAAAGGGACAATGAGTGCGTGAAAGTGAATTTGTGTATAAGAGAGTGTGTGAAAGTGAATGTGTGTATAAGTGAGTGTGTGTATGAGTCTGTTTACGGACGTTTGTGTGAGAAAGAAACAACGAGTGTGTGAATTTGAGTGTGTGTATAAGTGAGTGTGTGAGTCTGTGTTCGTGCGCCTTTGTGAGAAATGGGCAATGAGTGAATGTGTGTATGAGTCTGATAACGGATGTTTGTGTGAGAAGGAAACAACCAGTGTGTGAATTTGAGTGTGTGTATAAATGAGTGTGCGAGTCTGTGTATGTGCGGCTGTGTAACAAAGAGACAATAACTGTATGAACGTGAGTGTGTGTGTATGAGTTTGCGTGTGTGAATATGTGAGTATGTACACATGAGTATGTAACAACGCGGGTGTGTTTATCAATATAAGTCTGTATATAAGTTTGTGATTGAAGGAGCGAGGGGCAGAGAGAGAGAGAGAGAGAGAGAGAGAGAGAGAGAGAGGGGGCGGGGAGGGTATAAATTGTTTGTGTGTGCTTAGTCATTTAGCCCAGTGATACCAAAACTGTGCGCCGCGGCGCCCCGGGGAGTCGCGACCTCTTCACAGGGGCGCCGCGAAATATTCATGATACATGATTTTTAAAAAATCTCCTACATACGAATAGTCATACTTTTACTTAGTTTAGGGCGCCGTGGACAAATGTAATTGAAAAAAAAAAAGTGCCGCGACTAAGAAGTTTAGGAAACACTGATTAAGCCTGTCAACTAAGCAGTAATGAGCCGCCATCTGCGACAGTCCTCGATGGCTGACACACATTCTGCTAGTTACTATCCAGTTGCCTCCACAATGTGTTGAAGCGAGAGCACTTACAGTTTTATGTCACATTTTCATATCGCACTAAGGGTGTTGAGAAAAGTCATCAAGAAATAATTACTTGTGTCCCAACACACTTGTCTATTCTCAGAATTAATTTAACCTCTTTTTTTCAAGTACTGATACAGCAACCTAATGTGTTTGAAGTTTTGCTTTACATTTTATTTCTGCCATAATAATTGAGGGGAGGAGAGAGAGAGAGAAGAAAGAATTAGGAGGAGGGAGAAAGAAAGGGCCACGTGGATAAGAGGGGGCAAGGATGAACATAGGGAGAAAGATAACTGAGAGAAGAGGACAAAGAAGAAATATGAGGGAAGAAAAAAAGCGGCAAAGAGAGGAAAACAGAAAGATAGGAGAAAGGAGAGAAATCGGAGAGCGTAAGAAAGAGACAGAGAAATAGGCTAAGCAGGTAGAGAGGCGAGACAGAAAAAGGAGGAGAGTTGACAAGGATGGATTGGGGGGGGGGGCATATGGACAGAAAAGGAGTTAGCATTCAAATGTATCTTGAATCTTTCAAAATGAAATGTATTTTTATGTGCAGAAATGAGTAAACTTCCATGTAGTGTAAAAAGTGAAATTCCAAAATTTTGAAGAAAATAGTCAGTTTGGGAGTTCAACCTGTCCTTAATCACTGGTTTTGAAACATCTGATAAGGTATCTCTGCTTACAGAATCTGCCGACCTTTGTGTTTTTCTAAAGTCATGACATTGCAGCATGGCATGGCACCCCCCCCCCCCTTGTTTACGTCCATCCGTCTATTTAAAACCAAAACACAAAAAAACCGACAATGTTTCGCCTACTGCAAGCAGTATCGGTTATAATTGTAGTCTTGTTTTGTGTGTGTGTGTGTGTGTGTGCCAATTACGTTGGCTAAAAATGTTTGTGGCACCAAAACTAGTGGCTTGAAATTGTTTGGGTGTTCATTCTCTGCTTTATCTCTGTTTTTATTAATTTGTCAAGACTCTTGCCTAGTATGCCGGTGGTCATAAGTTTTGATCTTTATTATTGTGTATTTGTTGTTGTTTGTAGTTTGCGTTCACGATCTATAAACTCTGGTGGAAAGACCTGGTTGTTC